AAGGCTTCGAAAATGTATGGAAAATGTGTGTTATGAAACATTATGCATGAATTTCAAAAAATTTGGCACTCAGATCTATTCATCATTTTTTGCTTAACTATTTCTTTCATATTTATCACATATCTTCTACATTCTTTTTTATAGAAAACTTTTATTTAACAAATGTAAATTTCAAAAGTACCAGTTTTGGATTACAGTGGTTCTTCCTCCCATAACAACCCTCCCAGCGGCATACCATCCATCTCTTAATCCCTCTCCCATCCCATTCTTCACTCAGATTCATTTTATTATCTTTATATACAGAAGATCAACTCTATACTAAGTAAAATTACAACAGTTTGCACCCACACAGACACACAAAGTATAAAGTCCTGTTTGAAGATTAGTTTTACCGTTAATTCTCATAGTACAACACATTAAGGACAGAGGTCCTATATAGAAGCAAGTGTACAGTAACTCCTGTTATTGATTTAACAATTGACACTCTTATTTATGATGTCAGTAATCACCCGAGGCTTTCGTCATGAGCTGCCAAGGCTTTGGAGCCTATTTTTTTTATGAATAGAGTTAGACAGTGAGAGAGAGAGAGGCAGAGAGAAATGTCTTCCTTTGTTTGTTCACCCCACAAATGGCTGCTGTGGCCGGAAATATGCCGATCTGAAGCCAGGAGCCAGCTGCTTCTTCCTGTTCTCCCATGTGGGTGCAGCCATCCAAGCACTTTTGGCCATCCTCCACTGCCTTCCTGGGCCAGAGCAGAGAGGTAGACTGGAACAGGAGCAACCAGGACTAGAACCCGGCACCCATATTTGATGCCAGTGCCACAGCGGAGGATTAACTAAGTGAGCCACGGCACTAGCCCCTGGAAGCCTCTTCAGTTCACAAACTCCAATCTTATTTAGACAAGGCCATAATTAAAGGGGAAGATCCCTCCTCCCTTCAGAAAAAGGTACTTCCCTCTTTGATGGCCCATTATTTACGCTGGGATCTCACTGACAGAGATCTTTCTTTAGGCTTTTTTTTTTTTTTTTTTTTTTTTGGCTACAGTGTCTTGGCTTTCCATGCTTCCATGCCTCTCATAAGCTTTTCAGCCAAATCCAAATGCCTTGAGGGCTGATCCTGAGGCCAAAGTGCTGTTTAGGGCATCTGTAATTCTATGAGTCTGCTGTGTATCCAGCATCCTATGTTGGATTGTTCTCTCCTTTTTAATTCTATCAATTATTATTAGCAGACACTGGTCTTATTTATGTGATCCTTTGACACTTAATCCTATATTTATGATCAATTATGAACTTAAACTGATCACTTTAACTAGTAAGACGGTGTTTATATCTGCCAACTTAATGTGATTTTGAGTCCCATGACACATTTTTAGCTTTACCCTTAGGGATAAGTCCGAGGGAGGATGTGCCAAACTGTATATCTCCTCCATCTCTTATTCTCACTCTTATTCTTTTTGAAAGGCTTATTTTATTTATTTGAAAGACAGAGCTACAGAGAGAGGTAGAGACAGATAGAAAGGTTTTCCACCCACTGCATCACTTCCCAGATGGCCGCAACAGCCGGGGCTGCACCAATCAGAAGCCAAGAGACAGGAGCTTCTTCCATGTCTCCCTCGTGGGTGCAGGGGCCCAACAACTTGGGCCATCTTCTACTGCTATCCCAGGCCATAGAATAGAGATGGATCCAAAGAAGAGCAGCTGGGACTTGAACCGGCACCCATGTGGGATACTGACACTTCAGGCCATGGCTTTAACCTGCTGCACCACAGGTTTGGCCCCTCCCACTCTTATTTTAACAAGGATCAATTTTCAGTTAACTTTAAACACCTAAGGATAATTCAATGTTCATTCAAGAGTTCAACCAATGGTATTAAGTAGAAAAAGAAAATACTAAAAAGAATAAAATAGTAAACTGTTGCTCAAAGCACTAATCAAGTCATTGCTTCTCCTAGTGTCAGTTTCACTTCTACAGGTTTCCTTTTAGGTGCTCAGTTAGTTGTCACAGATCAGGGAGAACATAGGATATTTGTCCCTTTGGGACTGGCTTATTTCACTCAGCATGATGTTTTCCAGATTCCTCCATTTTGTTGCAAATAACCAGATTTCATTTTTTGCTTTTACCACTTTGTAGTATTCTATAGAGTTCATATCCATAGTTTCTTTATCCATTCTTCCATTGATGGGCATTTAGGTTGATTTCACCTCACCTGTCCGAATGGCTCTCCTACAGAAATCAACAAACAACCTGTGCTGGAGAGGATTTGAAGGAAAATGTACCCTCATCCACAGGTTGTGGGAATATAAACTGATTCAGTCATTGTGAAACACAGTATAGAAACCTATGAGAGCTGAAAATAGATCTGCCATATGACCCATCCAACTGATTCCTAGGAATCTCCTCAAACAAAATGAAATCAGCACGAAAAAGTGTCATCTATACCCCCATGCTCATTGCAGCTCAATTCAAAATAGCTAAGAAATGGAATCAACCCAGATATCCATCAATAGCTGACTGGATAAAGAAACCATGGTATATATACTCTAAGAATATTAATCAGCAGGAAAAAAAAAGAAAAGAAATCCTGTCTATCACAACAAAATTGATGCAGCTGAAAACCATGATACTTAAGAGAAATCAGCCAGTATCAAAAACAGACATAAACCATATGTATTCTCTTATCCATCATAACAAGTGCCTAAATGTAATGTTGGAGTAAAATTGACAATTTGAGATTCCATGCTTTTTTTTTTTTTTTTATAGCCTTTGTCTTTATTTTGAGGAATAGTGTTGGTTTCTTCATACCATTTGTAGAACACATTACATATGGTAAGGTTAATCTCCTGAGTATAAAGTAAACCAGAAAACAGTTCTTTGCAAAAATTAAGAGTGGCGATAGGAGAGGGAGGAGGAAGAAGAATAAGATTGGGGCTGGCGCTGTGGAGCAGTGGGATAACACCCTGGTCTGAAGTGCCAGCATCCTATATGAGCACCAGTTTGAGACTCGTTTGTTCCAATTCCTGTCTGGCTCTCTGTGTGGCCTGGGAAGGCAGTGGAGGATGGCCCAAATCATGGGAGACCTGGAAGGAGCTCCTGGCTTTGGATCGGCACAGCTCTGGCCATTGCGGCCAATTGGGGAGTGAATCATCAGATGGAAGACCTCTCTCTCTCTCTGCCTCTCCTCTCTCTGTTTAACTCTTTCAAATAAAATAAATAAATCTTTTTAAAAAAAGAAGCTTCAGATTTTTGTGGACAGGACAAATGGATAGGTGGGAAGTATCTCTGTGATCTAAAACTGTATATATGATATTCATGAAACTTGTATACATCAAGTAAAATTTGAAATATAAACAAATTGAGTAACTTACAAACAAGAAAATATATTTTTAGAAAGCAGAAGTAACAACAAAATATAATTCATGAACAATGGGAATATAATATGATGGATATTTCTGCACAGATAAATAAATGACCAAAGGACATTACAAATGATGCTAATCAGTAATAAGTATGGACAAGCCGTTCCACACCAGAAGGAGCCTCTACTTCACAAACACTAACTGGCTATAAAAACTTTCAAAGTTGTCAGGTGTCAGAGATGCCATAGGGAATTTGGAATCTTGAAACCATGCTAGAAAGTTACAACACATATGGTATGGAAGACAGTTGTCACCTCCTTAGCAAATTCAACATAAAATTCATTGATGACCAAAACATCCCACACCTAATGGTACACTCCAAAATTAGAAAATATGCAAAAATCTCTTGTACATCAGTGTGTGTCTCCAAACAGCCAAAGTGAAAAATAACACACAAGTCAGTGTATGGTTAACTGGACACACAAAACTCAATGAATTACTACAAGGAATTATCAGTTTGTCATGAAAAATGTAGATACCCGCAATGATGTGAATGCTCCTTGAAAACACCATGCAAAATCAAAGGCCACCTAAATCCACAGAGTCTAATATTTAATTTATACAAAACACTCAGGACATTAAATCCATGGAAACAGAAACAGACTGGTGGTTGTGTGACTTACAAGAGAAGGAACTGAGAGTGACCATTAATGGATAAGGAACCTGATTTGTAGCAAAGGAAATATTTTTAAAATATGACAGAGATAACAGTTGCACAAGAGAGTGAATGGTCCAAATGCCATTACTTCACTTTAAAATTGTTACTTTTTGTTGAATTATTTTCTGCTGAAGAAGATATAAAAATCACTTTCTTATGTCTGGTATTGGCAAAAGTAAATCTAAAGCCAAATTGATAATAAGCAGAAATTAGCAGATGGAAAAGAATTTTGCAGAATCAGTTCTACATATAGTGAAAACTTGGTGTGTGATTATCACATCATTTCAAATCTATATGAAATGATAACATAATTAAGAATTTCCTGGATAATGCATATACATATTAAAATAATTTAACATGTCCAATGATTACATGAAAATATTCCAAGTATATTATAAATCTGAAGTTAATATAGACCCTGAATGAATGAAAACAGAAAATAAACATGTAACTCATTTTATTAAAATATGAATATTACGAAATTGACCAGTTGACAATGAAAATGCAGAAATGAAAAGATTCAAGGAGAGCCTTTATCTGAGATGGGTTTCATTTGTGAACTTAAAACCCAGGCTAAGAAATTTGTACACAGTATTATTTTGAAGAAGAGAGGATGATTGCGGCCTGTGTTGGGGTGTAGTGGATATAACCTTCACCTGTAACCCCGACATCCTATGTGGGTGCCAGGCCATGTACCGGTTGTCCACTTGCAATCCAGCTCCCTGCTGATGATCCAGAAAAAGCGGTGGAAGATGGCCTCTTGCAGTCCCTGACACCTACATGGAAACCTAACTGAGCTCTTTTCTTTGGCCTGAACCAGCACTGTACCACTGTGGATATCTTCAGAGTATATCACCAGATGGTTTTTCCCACTATAGCTCTGTTTTGTTATTCGATGTATGAGAATTAAAAAGTTTCTAAGAGAAATGTAAGTTGTTCATAAGGTGATTAAAATGTTCAAGTTATTTTATAGCATCAGAATGCAAAATCAGTTTTGTAAATACTAGTTTCAAATCCTTGAAACTGAGAGAGCCTCAAAGGCTTCTCTTCAGAACCAACGCTGGGCCACTTAGACATCTTCAGCGTCTATCAGCAGATGGCAGGTTTGTCCCATTCTCCCTTTCTTTTCTGTGAATTGGTCCTTCGGAGCGAAAATATTTTAAGACAAGTATAAATTGTTCATAAGGCCGTTACATTCTGCAAGTTATTTTATAACATCAGAATGCAAAACCAGTTTTTTGAATTTTTGTTTCTAACCTTGGAAAACTGCGAGAGCCTTAAGAGCTACTCTTCAGAACATCCATTTCCTTGGAAATTATCCTATCCATTAACCCTTTCAAAGCATCCTTCTCAGGTCTTAGGAGAATAATGTAGCACTTGGGGACAAAGATGCAGCCCAGGAGCCCTGCACCAGAGGCCAAGATGGAGAAGACCTCCACAGCCACCATGACCTTCCCCTTGGTGCTGTGGTAGACAGGCAGGAAGGTCACCCAGACACTGCAGAACACCAGCATGCTGAATGTCAGGAACTTGGCTTCATTGAACTTGTCAGGCAGATTCCTGGCTTGGAAAGCCACAGTGAAGCTTGCCATGGCCAAGGAGCCCAGGTAGCCCAGGACACAGTAGAAGGCAGTGACAGAGCCCTTGTTGCACACCAGGATGATGTGGTCATGATCAGAGTGTGCATCTGTGTCAATAAAGGGAGGAGAAGTCCCAAGCCAGATGGCACAGAGAGCCAGTTGGATCAGGGAGCAGATGGGAATAATGGAGTTAGGTAACCCTGATATCAGCCACTGTCTCATCCTTCTCCCTGGGGCAGTGACCTTGAAGGCCAGAACCACAGTGGTAGTTTTGGCCAGGACAGTGGAAACAGCCACGGTGAACACCACTCCAAATGTGGTTTGCTGGAGGACACAGGTGGCTGTATTGGGATGACCAATGAAGAGTAAGGAACAGAGGTAGCAGAAGATGAGGGCAATGAGCAGGGTGTAGCTGAGACAACAATTGTTAGCCTTGACTATGGGAGTATCTCGGTGCTTCACAAAGACACCAAGAACCCCAGTGGTGAGGACAGAAAAACATAGAGCTGTGCAGACCAGGGTCATTCCTAATGGGTCTTCATAAGCCAAGAAGGCCACAGCTTTGTGCAGGCAGCGGTCATGCTCTGTGCTGGCATACTGATGATCCAGACACTTCACACACTGATCCATATCTGGTGAGAAACTTACAGTAACATCATCCCCCGTTCAGTTATTTCTGATTCACAAGGACCTTCTAAAATACCCGACTGAGCTAGTTTAGACAAATACTCATTATTTGTTGTTGATGACAACATATAAAAATGACATCTATGAAATTTTTAGGCATTATTTATGCTTTTCAGGGGCAGGCTAGTGGCTCAGTAGGTTAATCCCTTGTGGGTGCCAATTCTAGCCCTGACTGCTCTTCCAATCTAGCTCTCTGCTATGGCCTGGGAAAGCAGGAGAGTATGGCCCCAGTCCTTGAGCCCCTGAACCCCTGTGGAGATGGGAAGAAATGCCTAGCCCCTGGCTTTGAATAAGCACTGCTCTGATAATTGCGGCCATTTGGGGAGTAAACCAACAGACGGAAACCTTTCTATCTGTCTCTCCCTCTACTGTCTGTTACTCTGTTCTCAAATAAAAAAAAATTATTAAAAATTAAAAATAAAAAATAAATAAAAATTCATGTCCATCTACCTCATATTAGTCAGTTATTACTTACTCTCCCTAAGTACCTTACATACTAATGAGTACATTCTCTTTTTCTAATAACAGAGTCCTAAGACCTACTCTCTGAACCTCTTCATGTTGCTTTAAAAGTATATCTTAATCTGTGTCATTTTAACACCACAAACTCATTCTTCAAGATTTCTTAGGATTGGGAAGTGATGGTCAAGGTACCAGAGGATTCCATGTGTGGTGAGGACTACTCTGCCTTTATACATGGCGCATACTTGCTGTGTCCTCACTTTGAACAAGAGCAAGCAGCAGCCCTTGTTTTAAGGGTGCTATTTATTCAATAATATGACCTACTCAACCAGTCAAGGTTCCTTGTGTTGGTTTTTAATGAAAGTTAGTTGTTTATTTATTTATTTATTTATTTTAATTTTTTGACAGGCAGAGTGGACAGTGAGAGAGAGAGACAGAGAGAAAAGTCTTCCTTTGCCGTTGGTTCACCCTCCAATGGCCACCACGGCTGGCGTGCTACTGCCGGCGCACCACGCTGATCCGATGGCAGGTGCCAGGTGTTTCTCCTGGTCTCCCATGGGGTGCAGGGCCCAAGGACTTGGGCCATCCTCCACTGCACTCCCTGGCCACAGCAGAGAGCTGGCCTGGAAGAGGGGCAACTGGGACAGAATCCAGCACCCCGACCGGGACTAGAACCTGGTGTGCTGGCACCGCAAGACAGAGGATTAGCCTAGTGAGCTGTGGCACCGGCTTATTTATTTTCAATTACTTGAAAGGCAGAGTTACAGAAATAGGAGAAGTAGAAGGAGGAAAGAAGAGGGAGAGTGACAGGGGGAGGAGGAGAGGAAAGGAAAAAGAGAGAGAGGAAGAGAAAGGGAGAGAAAATCTTTCACCTGGTGGTTCATACCCCAAAAGACTGCAATGGCTGGAGCTGGGCTGATCTGAAACCAGTAACCAGGAGTTTCTTCTTGATTTCCCAAGTGGGTGTGGGCCCAAAAGCCCAAGCATCTGCAGATAACAGGACTTGAAGTGAAGCAGCTGGGACTGAAACTGGTGCCATCTGGGATGCCTGCATCAGGCAGAGGCTTAACCTGCTATGCCACTCTTAATATCATGGATTGGAAGTTTGCGAATTTTAGGTGCAGAGAAAGCATCCAGCTATCTCTGTGAAGCATAACTCTCTATGGTAGGATCTGGATTAAGTCATTCTAAAGGCAAGCTTCATTTTCCAGAACTGCTAAGTGAAAATAACTTTTCTCTGTGTTTAATCTTGTATTCAAGCACTAATTAATCAATTACTGATACACTGACTTAATTACACAATCCCATTATCATTTTAAAACAATTCCACTTTTATATCTTCATTTCCAATAAGTTCAATGTCCTTCTTTTTGGATAATATGCAAATCTGAAAATTGTTCACCACAATAAAACTGTTGGGAATTATTTTAATAACCATGAGTATATTTGGATTTTTAATATATTTCTTAATATGCTTCATAATATTTCCCTCTAAATCTTTGAATTTCTTTTGTATTCTTTTTTTTTTGGACAGGCAGAGTGGATAGTGAGAGAGAGAGACAGAGAGAAAGGTCTTCCTTTTGCCATTGGTTCACCCTCCAATGGCCACCACGGCTGGTGCACTGCAGCCAGCGCACTGCTCTGATCTGAAGGCAGGAGACAGGTGTTTCTCCTGGTCTCCCATGGGGTGCAGGGCCCAAGCACTTGGGCCATCCTCCACTGCACTCCCTGGCCACAGCAGAAAGCTGGCATGAAGAGGGGCAACCGGGAAAGAATCCGGCATCCCGACCGGGACTAGAACCCGGTTTGCCGGTGCCGCTAGGTGGAGGATTAGCCTATTGAGCCACAGCGCCGGCCTTCTGTATTCTTCAATGTAGCACCATTTTGTGATTATATTCTGCTATTAGTATTTCTTACATCTGTGCAGAAACCCTTCAACTTTCTTTGTACACACACACTGTAACCAGAGAACTTCCACTTTGATTATGGCCTTGTCTAAATACTGATGGAGTTTGTGGTCACAAAAGTCTTCCATAGCCTTGGCAGCTCATGACAAGAGCCTTGGGTGATCACTGATATCATAAATAAGAGTGTCAATTGTTAAATCAACAACAAGAGTCACTGTGTACTTATTCCCCATGTAGGACCTCTGTCCTCAATGAGTTGTACTGTAAGAATGAACTGCAAAATTGTTGTTTTCAAACAGTACTTTTACACTGTATGTGTGTATGTGTGCAAACTGTTGAAATCTTTCCTTAGTATAGACTTGCTCTTATTAAAAATGAATCTTAAGGAATGGGATGGGAGAGGGAGTAGGAGGTAGGATGGGAGTTGGAAAGGGAGAGTGGGTATGGGAGAGGAACCACTATAATCTTAAAGTTGTACCTATGAAAATTGCATCCATTGAATAAAAGCTTTAAAATAAAAAAAGTGTTGGAGATGTATGGGATACTATCAAATGACCCCATGTTGGGTCTTAGAGATTCCTGAAGGTATGCAAAGAGAAAATGGATTAGAAAGTTGATTCACTGAAATAATTACAGAAACTTTCCCCAATTAGGAGAAAGGGACATTCACGTACACTAGGAACATAGAACTCCTTATAGACATGACCAGAAAAGATATTCACCACAACACACTGTAGTCAAATTTTCAATGTAAAACATTAAAAAAATTCTAAATCCTGCAAGAGAGAAATATCAGATTACTTTCAGGGGATATCCAGTTATGTTCACAGCTGACTTCTCATCAGAAACAATACAGGCTCAGAGAGAATGGTGAGACATAGTCCATATCTTCAAACAAAACTGTCAACCCAGAATACTGTACTGTGCAAACCTCTAATTTATGAATGAAGGTGAAATAAAGAACTTCCACAACAAGAGAATTTGAAAGAATTTGTCACCACTCGCCAAGCCTTACAAAAATGCTTATGGATGGGATACACAGAAACACAGAAAGATAGCCATCATTATGCAGGAATATGAAGGCAGAAAATCCCCCAATAAAACTACAAAGGAAATCTAAGGCAAACAACAGGAATGTTTACAACAGGAGTGTTTACAGTGAAGAGGCAAGTCCTAACTTATCAATAGTAACCTTGAATGCAAATGGCCTAAACTACCCAAGTAAAAGATACTGGGGCCAGTGCTGGCATCCCATGTGGGCAATAACTGGCATCCCATGGGGGCAATCTGATAGAGGGATGGAAACTGACCACTGTCACTCAGAAGAGGTTTAAAAGACCCAAGAGTCAGCTAAGGGAAAATGCAAGAAATCTGTGTACGGTTATGCCATAGTGTACAGTATTATTCCTGAAGGGAATTAAGCAAATGGTGAAAGTGTCACAGAAAATTGAATATTTCATTTTTATCACCTCCCACTACATAAGAACTTCCTCAGTCATGAGTTTAGCTCAGAGGTTGAGGAAAATGTTTCCATTTTCACTTCACCTGTGATACCTCAGCATCAGAGCAAATGTGGTGACTCCTCCAAATCTCTGCATGCCTGCTCTTTAGATTACACACTATGACTAAAGCTTAAGGTGTCAGTCATTTCAATTTTGGGCACTGAGTAAGGTACTTAAGGTAATGTGCTTTTTCCTTCTATTTCCCATACACACTCATCTGTGAAATTTTGTAGTGTTCCAGCAGTGCCACTATTTGGACACCAATATTCATTCCTGAAATTACTGCTACAGATTTGCTGTTTCCTACACATGTAATTAGGAATGCCCCTTTCTGGCCCACAAGCCAGATGAAGGGATTATCCATCACCATCACACCACTGTGCATGACATTATAGAGATCAAATCCCAAGGTCACTTTGGGTAAAAGGTGGAGTTCTTCTTGATTCCCTCAATAGCAAAAACCAAGGCCAGAACATACTGGTAGTTTTTGGACTGAAACCTGCAGGAAAGGCACACGGATCTTAAAGGGAAAAGCCTCCAATCCAGATTATCATCAATTCTACTCCCATAACTGTTACAATTGCACTGTTCTGGCCAAAATTCCTGAGTTCCAATCATTCTTTTTACACCTACTGAGGATAGAGTGTGAAGACTGTCGTATTTGCTGCAGGACACATCCTCACAAGAAGCAAAGCTGCTACTACCTTCTCCTGGTCTCCCAGTCTAAATGATTCTGAAAATAATCTCTGCTATTACATCATAATGTCTTGGGCATGCTATCACATGGCTGTCCATGCAGCCAAAGAACATGATCTTTTTGTATGCCTACCTCATCAATTTAATTCATTTCTGGCAACATCTACTAACTTATTATATTTGATATCTAAAGTAAATATTACAATATGCTCTGGAATGCCCTCTCTACATTTCTTGCAAATATAGGAAATGGATTCAACTTGTTAATGAACACATGAACAAAGGAATGGCACATCTCTTTAGCACTGCCTCTATAGATGTTTCTTATATTCACAAACCACAATGATTCTTTACATTATTACATCATCAAATGCTTCTTGAAACAGTAATCATATACTTCTAAGGGTGCAGTTTGTAATGGGAAGAGAGAGTAACTCAACTGAAGGCTATGTGATCAGAAAGAGAGAAGATGTCAGACTATTGAGAATGGTAGATGGAAGTCTGGACTTCATCCAGAAAAACCTCTTCCCCATAAAACTTGCCCATCAACCACCATCACAAACCAGGAAAATGAAATCAGATTCAGAACTCGAAAGAAGGAGAACAGTGAAAAGGGAAGAACACTTTAGAGAAGCCTGAAACACTCACAGGGTGGACTTGAAACACTGGGCTATGAGACCCATGGTGCCTAAAATTAAGACAGATAATCCTTTATTGGAAAACTAAGCATATGTTAAAGTAAATCATCAGCATTGGTATCAGTACTTACTCCAAACAGGCCTCATTCATTCAATTTTTGTT